GGCGGCTCAGCAGCTCAGCAAGGAGGAGGACGTGCGGCGGCTAGCCGGGGAAGAGTAGCGTCGACGCCGCTTCGTCTGGAGGTTGCCACCTTGCTGCTTCGCCAGGAGGTTGCCACCTCGTTGCATCGCCGGGAGGTCGCTGCCTCGCTACTTCACCGGGAGGTCGCGACCTCGCCGCTTCGCTGCCTCACCGGGAGAAGGGGCAGCGCCACCATCGGGCGGGGAGGGCGGCGGAGTGGGCTGGAGGGGACGAGAGGAGTGACGGCGTCTTGCCGAGGAGAAGGAGGAGTGTCAACGGCGGCGGCTCGTCGAGGCGGCGCGGCGTCAGGCGAGGTCATCGTCAGACGGGGAGGGCCGCGGCCTGCGTCAGGCGGGGAAGGGCGGGGAGGGCGGCGGCCGACCAGCTAGAGGGTAGATGTGCCGCTCCACCCCCACTACCGCGCGCCTGTGACGTAGCGAGAGGAGACGGGAATAGATTGTAGAACCATTTTCATAATGGCAGAGATGGGTGTTGACGGCGGTTTAAGTCACCGTCAATACCTGCATAAAATCATAAATGTGAAACATCCAACATAGTGGTAGGATTTATTTCTAACAATTTCCATGAGTGTTGGTGTATATTTGTATGCAGGTGATCAACCAACAAAGTTGGCAGAGAATGAGCATAAAGAATGGAAATATATTATGCGCTGATGGACTCACATGGTTTTGAGCTACAACATATAAAATGTGCAATCATTTGGAGCCAAAACATGGAGTATCATAAAGTGAGGCCCACATGTCAGCATCTTGAAGAAGGATGTGGGCCAAGGGAGCCAGCCAGGGTTCAGCCGAACCCTTGGTTCAACCGACCAGCTGGTCCAATCCAGCCCAACTTTGGTATGATGGTTGTGCTCCTCATCCTATGACGGTTACGAGCGTTAATACCGGTAGAAACCGTCATCAAGAGGACACGTGGCAAGAGGAGAAGGAAGATGCTCTTTGGATTCTATGGAGAATATTCCTAGCATCAACACATTCCCAAGCAAGCGCCACACTATAAATACCCCTCTCCTCTCCCTTATTCACACACACCAAAGCATGAGCTGAATTACAAGAGTCTCTAATGTACTTTATTGTATATTAGAATAGGGAGAGAGTAAGGTAGAAGGAATCGGAGGAATCCCGGAGTTGTCGGTAATCTCCTCCTACTTTTGTATCTTGTTAATTACTCTGCTTTAATAGAAATATCATTCTGAGTAATTAAGATTTTCTTAGTGATAATTACTTCTTGGTTAGTTCCTAATTAGCATACGGGATCATTGTTCGCTATAGTTCATTTATTTATAGTGATTGCTTTAGTGTTTAATCGATACTATAGTAGTTATTAATTGCGTAGACGCGGTGTCTGGGTAATTAATTTCCAGTGGTTGCTGCGTATTCCACAGTACGTTTGAGGTGGGTGTAGAAATGGTGACAACCATCAAGAGCACTTAAGTCCTCCCTGTCCGGGTATGTAGTAGAGCGACATCTGGGAACAGCGGGTTGCCAGTGCCTGAAGTATTGCATTAGGATTAAACTTAAGCTTTCTCTAGACACTGTTTCTCATTAGGAAATCATCTCTGCCCTCTGCCCATATTAGCTTTGTGTCCTTGGATAAACCTGATGAGGAGATAATCACACAGGTTCCCTTGGATTCGATACCCTTGGAATACTCCGTAGGGGAAGTGCTACATCGGTATATCCGTGCGCTTGCGGATTCTATCTGTGACGTTAAGAAATATTAACCGTGGGTAATTTTTTCCCCCAAAAGGAGGTGAAAGCAGGGGGTAGAGATGCTTTTGATTTGTGCAACACCAAAAGTTGGCTTTGGGCAAAAGCAGTTGTGTCTTTTGGACCCTTTGGTTGGCTTTTGGCTTTTGCAAAAGCAAAAGCAAGTTGAAAAGCCCAACCAAACACACCCTTAATGGCTTTATCCTGCGAGCTTAAGGACTTTCATGAACCCTGTAAGCGTGAGCTATCGATGAGGATTGTTGTTGTTGCAGAATCAAGTAGAGTATGTGGATCGTTGTTTCTTTGAAATATGATGATATACTATTGTGGTAGAGATCACCCGTAGTGATAAGTGTCAAATGTGATTGATGAAAAGCTAGTAACCTTAGCCTTGCCACATACACCATGAAGTATGCTTAGGCACTAGCATGGTGGCAATGTAGTGCGATGTTAACAGGTTTAAGGTATCTATGGGTACAACGACACACATTTGCAGAGTATATGAATTGTGATATGTCACTCCCTATTTCTGATAGAAAATGCAAACATGGCAGAAAAAGAACCTGTCGGAGGTTTTAATACCTATGGTGCCATATATGCACAATAAAATTAATGTGATCTTTTGCAACAATGTTTATAGGCATGCATGGTACATTTTGTGGACCATGGGTTTTTGGTGGTATAGTGATGCAGGTAATTATGAACATATATGTGTTGAATTGCTATAATTGGGACTTGTTGAATACCTTTCATATGCATCCCCTATGTATAACCTCTTTTGTAGATAATTGTGCTAACTTTGTTACTGTCTAAAAAGTTCAACCTCGAATGATCAAGACTAAAAAATCAATTATTCAAGAGTTTACCAAGGAAATGAAGAAGTTGGTATCTATATTGATTCAGTATAGAAGATCTTGATGGTGGCAAGGTTGTCTAAAGGTAAATTTAGTTATTATGTTGGTAAAGGCTAATTTCTAATGTTTATTAAATAGGTTGCACTACAATTGCTTCTGCTATGCTACTTTAGTGTGCCAATTTCTCAAAAAGTTGATTTTTGCCGAGAAATGAGCCATGGACCATTATTCGACCTCGGAAGTAGAATACAAGGGTTGCTATACCGCCTCCCTAGTCGCACCGCCGTTCCTTGGCGCCAGCACCCACCATAGCTCCTGCATTGCATCCCCCTTCTCCTCATTGCCTCCCCGATCCACCATCGGTGATGGCAAGCCACACGACACCAAGAACACAACAGGTGGCATCACCGGGGTTCTTGGCGCTGCAACGGATGTACTCTACTCACTCTAGCAACCAAACTCCAACCTCCTTGCAACTCCCCTTCTCTCTTTTTCTTGGAAGAGAGTCGGATTGGCCATCGCTTGGGGAGAGAGGGGGAGGGAGAGGGGTGATAACATGTGGATCCCACTGTTTTGTATTTTACTTTTTTAACCGGATACCTACCAATATATGGGCTCGGCCTATTGATTTTATTTTTTTAAAAAAAACATATTCCCACTAACATGTGGCCCTCGTTGGTGTTTTTTTATTTTTAGTTTGCTGTGTAAGCAAGCAAGGAAAAAAACCCTGAAACCATCAGTAGTAATACTACCAAGAGATTTAATTTGCACTTATTTCAATAGTTGTTTGAGGGACGCGAATTGTTAAGGGATATAAAATGGACTCTTTTCCTCCACATTCCCCGTCACTTCGCTCTGCTCCCACTGTGTACACACTGCGTCGCGATCCACCGGCCTCCCAAGGCAGCGTAGATAGGAATAAGTTCACTTTGACTCCCTTAAAAGTGACCCAAACCTAATCAATGACCCTAAACCGCAAAACCGGATATTTTGACCCCCGAACTATTGAAACCGGTGTAATTTAACTCCCTAGGTGGTTTTCGAGGGCGGTTTTGCTGACATGGCGTCTACGTGGCGGTATTGACCGAGTCTTCTTTACGCGTGGCGTTGACGTGGCGCTTAAGTGGCATTAGAATTAAAAAAATAATTCATTTATTATTCACACAAAGGAAGACATGTGGGACCCACTGGCATGGAGGCCCACATGTCATCCTTTCTCCTCCCCCTTCTTCCTCCTCACTGACTCTCCCTTCTCTCATTCTCTCCCCAGCCTTTCTCTACACCGCAACACCACCAGAGTGGCAGTGGGGACGGCGGCGGTGTCCGGCGGTCGGGACGGGTAGGGATGACGGCGGCGTCCGGCGGTCGGGATGGCCAGGGACAGCGGCGGTGTCCGGCGGTCGGGGCGGCAGTTGGGAGACGGTGGAAGGGTGACAGCAGCGAGCGGCGGAGACGCGAGTGTGGCGGGGAGTGAATACGGCAGTGGGGACAGCGGCGGCGTCCGGCGGTCAGGACGGCTAGGGACGACGGCGGCGTCCGACGGTCAGGATGGCCGGGGACGGCGGCGGTGTCCGGCGGTCAGGACGGCGGTTGGGAGATGGTGGAAGGGCGGCGGTGGCAAGCGGCGGAGACGCGGGCGTGGCGGGGAGTGAATACGGCGGCATCTGGCGGCGGCCGCCATGGACAGGGTGAGGTGGGGGATCTCCTCGACAACATCCGCTGCACCCGCTGCCCTCCTACAGCTGGATCGACGGCCGCCGCCGCCATGCCGTGCAGGCCGGCCGTGTGCTCCGCCTTCGTCCTCGCGCCGCTGCACCACCGCCTCCTCCCCCTCGTCTGCGCAGCTCGCCGAGATCCCCGCTGCCGTGACCATGTCGCTCTGCCGGCGCCGCGACCACATCGCCCTACTCCTCGCGGTGAGCCGCGCCGCCAACCTCCTCCTTCGCTCGCCACCCAACTCCCGCCCATCGCTGTCAGCCTGCTTGCTCCCGCCCGCCGCTGCGGGCTTGCTTGCCGCCACGCGCTGCGGCGGCCGAAGGGGAAGAAGAAGGGGGAGAGAAAAGAGAGAGAAGGGAGAGAGGGAGGAGGAAGAAGGATTGAAACAGGACTGACATGTGGGCCCCACCTGTTAGTGAGCCCATATTTTTTTTATGTGAATGACTAAATTACCCTATGCATATTTTTTAATTCTAATGCCACTTAAGCGCCACGTCAATGCCACGTATAAAGAAGATCCAGTCAATACTGCCACATAGACGCCACTTCAGCAAAACCGCCCTCTAAAACTGTTAAGGGAGTCAAATTGCACCGGTTTCAATATTTCGGTTTTGTAGTTTAGGGTCATGGATTAGATTCGAGTCAGTTTTAAGGGAGTCAAAGTGAACTTATTCCTCGTAGATATGATACTCCACTTCGGCCCAACCACGGTGTAAATACGATGCCTCCACTTCGGCCCAGAAGAGAGAGGGGTTTTTCAATTTCGAAGTCCATTCACGCGCAGCCTACGCGCGGCGACACGCCGTCACACCGTCTGACCGCACCGCCGACTGCACCATCCGGCGCCGCCGCGGCGCGCTCGCGCGGGGGTGGGCACGATGCGGGGGCTGGCGCGGGCGGGGAAGCGCGCCAGCGAGATGGCGTTCAACGCCGGGGGAGGCGCCGTCAACTGGTTCCCCGGCCACATGGCCGCCGCCTCGCGCGCCATCCGCGACCGCCTCAAGCTCGCCGACCTCGTCCTCGAGGTCCGCGACGCCCGGGTGAGTGCCGCGCTCCGCTCCGCTCTGTTTGCGCTCCTCGGTATACCTGCCTCTTTCTTCGCCTTCTCGAATAAATGCCGCTCGGTGGGTGATTCTAGTCGCTCCGACGGTGTTCGACGAAATGTCTCGCCTGTCTGTGAGTGTGTCATGTAGGAATGCGGTGGAACGTGAGTAGTGGAATCAACTCCGAAACAGCACTTGATTGTGCAGAGTTTCATACTCTATGTACTATAATTGTGATCCTCGTGCTTAAGTAGCTTCTACTTACTTTAAAACTAGTTCTTTTTTTTTTCTTTTAGAAATTGTCTTTTACAAGTTGGTGAATAATTTGGCTGTGTGCCTACGGGCAGAGGCTGGAGATGTAACCCATTTCCATTATCTAAAAAAAAACAAGTTGGTGAATAATGTTCCATTCAATTCAATTATCATCTTTTGATTTTTTATTGCTGCATTTTCATGTGCAGTTCGTTTGTTCGTCTGTATTGTATTCCTCTGATTACTGATGTACACCTATTGTAAGTTATGTCCAGATTCCGTTGTCCTCAGCGAATGAAGACCTTCAACCTGTGCTTGCATCTAAGAGGCGTATCCTTGCTCTAAACAAGAAAGATCTAGCAAATCCTAATATAATGAATGTAAGTGTACACTGATTTTTAGCTCAGCTCCTCAAACTTAGTTGTCAATTCATGTTGAAACATTATTACTTTCATGTACCTTCCCAGTTATGTTGTTTGGCAAATATGATTTATTATTTACTCACAAGAATTTTACATATTATTTGCAGAGGTGGCTTCATCATTTTGAATCATGTAAGCAGGATTGCATTTCGATAAATGCACATAGCACCAGTTCTGTTAGTCAGGTCAGTTGACTGTTAATTCCTATTTTATCCATTTTTTTTCTATTGTAAACTTAACATAATATATGTCTCTAAGCTTTAAGAAGAGGAGTTGACAATGCTTTTGGTGTACTCTATACTGATTCTCTATAGATGAATCTATGTAATAAGATGTGGCATTCTTAGGGTTTTCTAAAATTATTGCATCCTCTATATAATGTATATGTTTGATTCATATGATTCTATTTAGTTTCAGATTTCAAGTTGATCATTTTGTCATTTTAAAATTAGAATATACTCCCTCCTATTCTTTGTTGTGTTCCTCTATGCTCAAATTCCTAGAAATCCAGTCACTTACCAAAGTAACCAATAAAAACATGCAGCGGTCAAGATGCAAGTATGAATGCCTTGCCTCCAACTGCATCCATGCATGAATTGATAATAAGTATCTTGTAGAGGAGCATTACTGTATCAGAGAAACATAACAAAGCTAGGTGCTTTCGAAATTACATGCATCATGCATGCAACGGCCATTCCTGAGTATCAGGAAATTAATTTTACAGCACTGTTCAACAAAAGAAGTAGAATGGTATATACTTACATGAAAACCAGTGCAATACACAGGAGGTAGCTACCTATATCATAAGTGGCAGGTGGTGATGTGCTCCAAAACCTTAGCGTAATGTTGAGAGTAGGCTATTGTTTATCCTATTAGCATTTAGAATACTGATTGGTGTTTGCTGAAATTTGTATAACTGGTATTTCTAAGGTGCAGTGGACCAATCGTTTTGTTAAGTATTTTAAATAGTTTCCAACAAATTAGTAAATTTACACTGCATTCAAATTTATTTGATTTTTTTTAAGTTTTCTTGGGGTCATTTAGTGGAAGTGTACTATCTTTATTTTTATAAGGTAATTGCACTTTGCATATAAGTAACATTGCTCCTCCTTGGTGCATCCATCCGAAAATTCAAAACAATGCTTCTTGAAATGAATGAAGGAAGCAAATCTTTTTTGTTTCGTACAAAATGCTGATACATATGTCTATCTGCGCCAGTAAAGTCCTCAATTATTACATTTAACCACCTAAATTTGCTCTCCTTACCCCCAGACATTTTCTATAGGAAAAACTAAAAACTTGAATGAAATGCAGCTGTATATCAGTATATGTTCTGCAACAATGCTATTCTATTCATGCAAACATCCTTCATCCTTGCAGCTTCTGTATGGTACAGACTGTGTTCTGGCTAATTTAACATTCCATATGACTTAACCAGTTAAGATACTTTACATTCTTAGTATTTTTATAACTCTTGTAAATTAACAGCTTCTTGGGCTAGTGGAGTTCAAACTAAAGGAAGCAATCTCAAAAGAGCCCACACTTCTTGTTATGGTTGTTGGTGTTCCCAATGTTGGCAAGTCTGCCCTCATAAATTCCATTCATAGAATTGTCACTTCTCGTTTTCCAGGTATAATATTTACAGAGTAAAATATCTATGCATCTAATTTATGATTGACTATTCATGTTTGTTGTTTCTCTACTCCCAGTGCAAGATAAGAACAAGCGAGCTACAGTAGGACCATTGCCTGGTGTTACTCAAGATATTGCAGGATATAAGGTGAGTCTGTAAGTCCAATATTTTCTCAACATCTCTTAGTTTGCTAGATTGATGAATCCAGTCCGTCGGTAATATTGAGCTAGATATGAGAAATATTCATGATAGCACATGTTAATCTGACGTTTTTCAGTTGTATTATTCTATCCCACATGTGTTATATCTGCGTTTTGTTTTGCTTGTTGCTCTTTAATTTTCATATTAAATACTAGATGTGACAAAATGAATGGATGAGGCTCATGTCCATGGATATGGATGGTAACAAGCTTAGACTCTTTTCCCTTTCTTTGTCTGAAAATATATTAAGTTTCCACAATTCACGTTACAATATAGTTAGGCCTTTCTTGTTCAGTCCTATGTTAGGATAATAGGTATTAACTGTGGAAGAGTACAGGAAAAATGAGGCTTAAGAGATAAAGATTACCTTTGTTTGATCCAAAATTTACCTCCTGAATCATTTTGCCTACAAATTAAACACATCCCACACCACAGGCCACTTAGACCCACTTAAGCTGCCATATCCAGTTCAGCATATCTCATGTCCAGCCTTATTACGGTTCCAATCCATTTCCTGTTGCCATCTACCCTGACTCCGTTCTTTTGTGCACCATCAGTTTGCTTAGTTTGCAATTACATGGTTCAAGTAAATGCATTCATAGTGACTAATCATTGATCAGATGGTTTCTTTTTTTCTTGTTTTCTTTTTGCTATAATCGAGTGGATTAACAGCAATACTTGTGTCGGATAGATTTCAAGCCAGCCGAGCATTTATGTACTTGATACACCAGGTGTTCTAGTACCAAGCATTCCAGACATGGAGACTGGTTTAAAGCTTGCTCTGACAGGTTAGATTATTTTAGCTTCTGTATTTTCTCTTCTGTGCACGAATTCATCTGAAGAATAAGAATATTATCGTGTTCTCTGCTTAGAGAACTTATCCATATTTGATAAACACAAGATTAATCATGGTTTACTCTTGTTTTACCTATCACTGATATCAAGTTGTCCATACTTGTACTGCCACATTGCTAGAGCCCTTTTTATATTATTTACAGGAGCCGTCAAGGACTCTGTGGTTGGAGAGGAGCGTATAGCGAAATATTTATTGTCTCTTCTTAATATTAGAAAAACCCCTCTACATTGGGAGCGACTAGTTTACCGAAGAGAACAATTCAATGAAGATGCATTCAATAGTAATGAAAAAGACTATAGAGATTCACCACGAAGGAGGAGGCGACCAAATAACTCTGACGCCTTATATGTACAGGTACCAACTCTTATCAGAAAGTTTACTGCATGAGAAACCATCGTTATGGGGATATAACTGGGCAACATAATCGGAACTCCCCATGTATACATATGATGAAATTTGGATGGAATAAATTTATCCAGGCTTGGCGACCACATTGATCAATATTTTGCAGATTATACCACAAAATAAATAATCATATATGAGTGATCTCACCATCTGGATCCGTTTCAAAATCTGATGCAGCCAAAGATCATAAAATTGCATCCGAGTATACAGCTAGCTTTTATAAGTTGCAGAATAACATGCAATGTTTGATATTACTAACCTGTTGTATGTACAATTATCTCACTGTTTTTTCCCCTTTATTAAATGAAGGCATCAATTGACTACTAAATGGATTAAGCATTATGTAACATTTGATCAATCCTTATAACACTAACTGTCCATCCAGTGGTTTTACGGTGCATTTTCTCTTTTCCTCTTGAGGTTGAATGGCTGCCCTTCAGAAAGGGCGTGTTAAATGAAATTTAAGAATCGCATATCATTCTACCATGTTGTGGTTAGAGGTTTGCTGAAAAATTGTGTTTTCATGCTTAGATCTCAAAACATTATGCAGTTATGATTATAGAAGTCCAATGGTAACTTATCCCTTGCTAATAATGTTTTCTTGCCATGGAGTGTCTTATTTTTGCTGGTGTTCATGTTGCTATACACTGGGATATGCTAGTTTGTTGGCTTTTAAGTAGCAGATCATTCAGAATTCTGGCTTAGTATCTCGCAAAACATGTTGGAACAACCAGGTAGATAATAATCTGTTTTTTCCTATATTATATATTTATATTATTACCGTTCAGAAGGTGGTGAAAAAAAATGTTCTCGTTCTTTTTTTCATTAAGTTGTGCTCCTTAAATATTATATTTTTGTTGATCAATTTTCAGTATTTCATTGTCATGTCAAACCCATCATCTCAGAATATGTAGAGCAATATCTATATTTACATTTTTAGTGCAAATTTGTTTATTTTACTATAGCTGTCATCGAGCAACGTCATTTAGTTGGGAAATTTCATGTGTTCCGTGGAGCACAGGAGCACTTGAGCTTCAAACCAACAAAAATAGTGTGCACATATTTATAAAAATATCTACGAAAAAGTAGCATACAGTATGTCGTTATCCATTACTCTGTAAAATTTCAAATTGAAATTTGAACATGGAGTAAAATTAACATAAACTCTGCTGAAAAAGGCATTGGAAATAAAAATTATTACTGTCAGAAGAATGTCTTTTTTTATTTCTCCAAGTGTACATCAAATCTAGATTTGAACTTGTGTGGAGTGATGGATGACAACACATTTTAAATTTATTCAGAATTTGCTATGACTGTTGGGATGTGTTTTTGTTGGTTTTAAGCTCAGGTGCTATTCTGCTCCATGCAGCACCTGAAACTTTCAACCAAAAAAAAAAACAATATTACCTTAGCGTTGATACAATATGTTTCTCCAATATTATCAGTGGAGAAAGAGTGTATTCAGTTTTGCAACATGTTTCCATTGGTGGAGTTGTACGCGCTTTAGTTCAACCCTTGGCTTATAGGAGACATTAATGGTGGTTGAGATTTGAGAAAAGGCACATCATCAGCTAGCAGCCTGTTCTTGTTGGGCTGGAGTACTTATATGGACATGTTAACCTCAATGTTGTTTGTCACACACACACATTGGGCCACTCTGCCTGTGTGGCATGTGTAGTTGGTGTATCTTACAGAAACATTGGGGTGGCTGGTGGGATTATGGTTGTAAGCTTGTATGATCATGCTACTTTTGGGTTGTCTTTGGCACCGTGGACCATGGAAAGCATCCCCTGGATAGACTTGATGCCATGTGTGGTTGGTGACACCATGTGATTATGTCCAATGGTTAGATCTGTCCATTATTATTTTAATGTAGTTGAACAATTAACATGGTACGTCTGTTGACTTGCCAATCGCTCATGTTTGATATATTTTCTTTTGTGGGATCGTGTTTTTAGTATATATTCTCCTTATGACATTATTGACTGACTGCATTTCAAGATTGCCGTGTGCGCTAAACTTCCTAGTTAACTCTTACCGTTATTTTCTGTCATGTCATGAACTTGTTGCATTACAATAGGCCGTTCTATGTACATTTAATCAGAAAACCAAATTTGTGCAACTATTTGTAAGGTACAGATTGTACCTTCGCACCTAATTGTGCTGCCCATCGTACTGTGGCAATTAATGAGTTCTCTTATCTATTTTGTACAAGTTCATAAACCTCGCCCCTCTTCTCCAGGACATGGTGATGGAGGTCCAGAGAACACTTTGCAGTACATTTATGGACTTCGCGGACAACACTGAGGATGAGAACGAGCTTGAAAGCCTGATAGACTCACAGCTTGTCGCTCTTCGCAAGGTGTTCAGGATACCTCACAAACCGTTTGATGAAACGCATGGTCCGGCCTCCAAGAAGTTGTTGACTCTTTTCAGATCAGGGAAGCTTGGCCCTTTCATCCTCGACGACCTTCCAGATAATCAGTAAAAGGCTGGGGTGCATGGCGGAGCTTAGGACTTTAATCCTGTGAGGTCAATTACTAGTAATTTGTATTTAAGTGGAGTCATTTCTCTAAATTTTTTGAATTTATACATGAAAATCAAGGTTTGTAGGGTGTTTTTTAAAAAGCTGTGGGGTCAGCCGACCCCCACAGAATATGCCTGGATCCGCCACCCGTGCATGTATGAATTATATGTATGTTTATGAGCAGCTAAGGATTTCTCCTGATAGAGATGGCTCGATATGATAATGATAGATGGTGATGGGCGTCCCTCTAGGGAGCAGCTTTTTTTTTCTTTTTTAATCCTCTTCCCTAAAAGTAAAGCAAGATCCCTTCAGGCTTCAAGATGTGATAATGTCGGACCTGTTCATTGTAATGTATGCTGTCTTGGGTACGCACATTAGACCTTTTCATTGGGTCGAAGCTTAGGACTGGTTAATAGCAGGATATGTTTTTCCGTCTGTCATTTTCTTTCTGTCTGCTTGGACAGAGCAGAGCTTCTGCTTGTTTCAGAATTGAAATGTTGGCCTTTTGGTAGTACTACGTTTTGTGCTCACACTGAGACAGGTTATTAACACTAAGCATGAGGAGGCACATGTAGCTTGCCGTTCCAAAAGAGGATTAATTTGGATTGAGCAGAGCAGGTGTTGCCCTTCCAAATAGTAGCAGAACCTGGCGGTTTCAAGTTTCAACCGATGGCTCTTTGAGGGGTGCAGGATTAGTTGCTCCGCTCATTGCTGGCGCTCCCAATTTGACCGGTTTTTCACCGGTTCTTTCCGAAAACCGGCGGTTCAATCGGGTTTTCTCAGGTTGATTGCACGTCTGATCTTTAAACTAAGGGGCGGACCTAGGAGTGGTGCCAGGTATGCACCGGCATACCCAAATATTTAAAAGAAATTATAAGATGTAGTATTCATTCGTGGCCTAAATATTTGGTAAATGCCCTTCTTCCTGAGCAAACGGAAGACCAAAAGGCCTACTTGTTCTCGCTTTCTAGTTGTCTTGGTCATTTCTGTTGGTCAGTTGGTGGTGCAAGCAAACTAGCGGAAGCAATGGCCATACAGTATATGTTGTGGCGGCCGACACGGCGAGGCTAAAACCAATGGACAACGCAAACCACGTTACGCCGGCGCCAATGTCCTGGAGCCTTGAAGCCCTAAATCCATCACTGAACTAGTAGCCTTTTACCCTTCTATAATTTTTCCTCTGAATATATGATTCTCAGACCAGTATTACTTGATTCAAATTCACCAAAACTAAAATGCAAAATAAGTGAGCTATTAATTGAATACTACTACTTTTAGGAAAAGTCCTAGTGGTACACACTAAAATAACCTTGAACTACTTAAAACAACAGATACGGATGAACTCGCTTAGCTGCTCTCTTGGTGAAAAGCTTTCCAATGTTTATGTAATTTGTATGATTAGATTGAATTGAATCAATTAAATATGAAGAGTGTGTTTTTTTCAATTTGAAGGGCATTCACCATGGTTTGTGACAATGGACCAAGCAGGTGGTGAAATGGGTTCTTTCAAAACTTTTCTACATTTTATCAACTTTTCATGAATTAATTTAACTAAATTTTGATCAAATTACATAAAATTTTTGCTACCTACAACCAGGTAAGTTTTAGTTAAAAAATGGTATTATACACCCTAGCGTGGGCACACCCAGTATGATTTTTCTGGGTCCGCTACTGACTAAACCGGTTGAGCACTTGGTTCTTTTTTTTTTCCAGTCGGATTGCCGGTCCGGTCTGATCCTAATAACTATGGTTTCAACGGATGGCTCCCTCCCTTTGAGGGGTGCAGGATTGGTTGCTCCGCTCATTGTTGGCTGCCACGTCATCCACATAAAAGAGAAATTAGTGGCCCTCTGTTGCCAAACCACCTTTTGAATCAGCGGCCTTTTGCCGCCATATCCCACATCGCTTTACGCAATCTCGGCCTGAATCTCTCGCCCATTTTAGGGGAAACGCATACTAGTACTACTACTATATGCCTTTGAGAGCGCCGTACTCGTGTAGTCCGAGTCTTTTCATCTGGTATTTCTGGCGAGTGTGATGCTATGCTATACAGTCCGTAATGCAGTAATGCTACCCGTACCAACCTTTCGGTCGATAGCTTTTCATTTATTGCATTGCATGCGCGCTAGCTGTTTGCCTGTTTCTGTGTGTGAATATCAGTGAGTTTAGAAAGACAAATGGAGGGGAAAAGGGAAGTGAAGGCACATTAGAGCAGATACAATAGCAGAGTATAAGTTAGCTATAAACATATTTTAAAATGATAAAGAGAAAAAGAAAAGCAGCAGGGCTACATATTTGTAGTCAGCTGCAGCATAAACTCATATGACAGGTGAAATCAAATATTAAAGAGATAATCCATTATATGCCACTGACTTTGTCGCACATCTACGATTTACCACTGACTTTGTCACGTTCTACAATATGCCATCGACTTTTGCTTAACTTCTACGATTTACCATCGCCGTCCAGTTAGCCACCATTAGTACTGTACAAATTTGTCGAAATGACCAAAATACCCCTATGACAAAAACTTCCAAAATTTGGATAAAATTATCAAAATATTATATTATAAACATAAGATTGTAAACATCCAAAATTTGATCAAAAACTTGAAATATGATATTTCATATTTTTTATCCAAATTTTGAAACCTTTTCTCCCAGGGGTATTTTGGTCATTTTGACAAATTTGTACAGTACTAACGGAGACTAACCGGACGGCGATGGTAAATTGTAGAAGTTAAGCAAAAGTCAATGGCATATTGTAGAACATGATAAAGTCAGTGGCAAATCGTAGACGTGTGACAAAGTCAGTGGTATATAATGGATTCTCTCAATATTAAAAGTGTATTAAGTAACTATTGAATGAGTTAGAGCATCTCCAACAGCATCTCCAACAGCATCTCCAAATTAGACTCTCCAAATACCCATATAGTCAACTCTCCAATTGATTTGGCTAATCAAACTAAGTGTTCGCTCCAACAAACTCTCTATTTACATCTCTAAAATCATAAAAAGACCCACATGTCAGCCTCCATTCTCGATCTTCTTCCTCCACTTTCTTTTTATCTTCCTCTTCTCCCGCATCGTCTCCATCGATCCATCCTCGACTGCCTCGCGGCGGCGACGGCGACGGCGACCAGCGCACGACGCAGCGGCAGCGACGGCTCCCCGCGCAGGCGAGGCGGCGGCGACACGGTAAGGGCATGGAAGGGATCAAGTTAAAATTTCACGGGTATAGAAGGGATCGGGTAAATTTCAGGGGTATGTAAGGAATTGAGCAAGTTTTTAGGGAAACACATGGAATTTACTCATAAAACATAGGTTTTGTTGAAGTTTACTTATTTAATTATATTTTTTCCCAAGGAATCTCACTGGTCAACCCTCAAATCTAACCTCCCTAGCTAGATGCGATGTTGACTCCTGATAAAATTGTCATTTGTTAATATTCTTTCACGTAACATGCATGGGTTTGATGTTGACACGCATACGTAGCATGCAGCCTGATTAGTATATATGTTTTCTTTGATAGATGCTAACTAATTATGAATATCAGTAATGATCTTATTGAGCCCCCATATTTCGGCTTGAATTCGTGCTTCGAGTTTTGACTTACATTAAACAAAAGGATTGCCTAGCTTAAATTCAGACCGACACCTTTTCATAAAATAATTCACACTCCTTTTTAAATTGGTGAGGTTTTGTCAGAGCTGCCGGCCCATGGTCGTTATAGGTTTTGTTGTAGTCGGTGTCACTGGTGGAAAAACCATCTTTCGTCGGTCTGCCAAATTCCATAATAGTCCTGGTTGCAACAAAAACCGGGACTAAAGATGATCTTTAGTCCCGGTTAAAAAGGGTAACGGGCATATTTGATCTTTAGTCCTGGTTGGTAATCTTTAGTCCCGGTTCAAATGCTGTCAGGGCTTGTCAGCCCCCCCCCCCCCCCCCCCCCCCCCGCGGGATCTTTAATCCCGGCTGTTAACACCAACCAGGACTAAAGTCCCACCCCTTTATATATATGTCTTTTTCCTCCTCCAGCCCGAGCAAGCTTCAAATTTTCTTCAAAAAGAGGGAAGGTCATGCCAAAATTTTTAGTGAATTTATTTTGGTGATTATATACAAATCGGAGGTGCCTAAAAGGTTAGCAACTTTATCCTCCAATGTTTTTTTTGTCGTATTACATTTGGAGCTATGTTTTACACACTTTTTTGTCTCCAAAATTTTGTTGTAAGTTGATGAGAGAGAAAATGTGTGTGGGGAAGAAAGAATATATAGAAATTTAGTTTATTTGCTAAAGAAGGTTTTATAAAATAGTTGAGAAGGAAAATATAGTGAAAGTTAATCTTAAATAATAGAAAACAAACTAAAATGAAAATTAAAAGAAGTACAACACATTAATATTAGTTTAAAACTTTAAAAATAGTAAATAAGAATTATTTGGTGGAATATTTTATAATTTTTGTATGAATAATGATATGTCATTATTGTATGACTGTTGAAAGAGTTTGTAATTATTTTATCATTTGTATGACTGTCATTATTGTATGAATAATTATTTGTGTACGATTTTTTTTCATTTCATGTAGATGGATCGGCAATGGATGAATGCTGACCGGCGGTCCAAAGAGTTTATTGACGGCGTGCATTATTTTTTGAGAGTGGCCGAAGCTAACAGGCATAAGGGTTTTATTTGTGGTCCATGCAATAAGTGTAAGAATCAGAAGGAGTATTCTGCATCCATGACTATTCATTTCCACTTGTTTGAGTCGGGGTTCATGCCAAGCTATAACTGTTGGACATCCCACGGAGAGTAAGGGGTTGAAATGGAAGAAGATGAAGTGGAAGACGACAATATTCCGGACTTTGCTCAGTACACTGGATTTGAAGGAAATCAAACGGGCGAGGAGGAAAGAGATGCTGATGGTAACAGCGTTGCGGATGATTTTGGTCAGATGTTGCAGGACGCCAAGGAGGACTGCGAAAGTGAAAAGGGGGCCCATAAATTGGACAAGATGTTAGAGGACCACAGAACGTCGTTGTACCCAGGTTGCGAGCAAGGGCACAAAAAGTTGGATACCACTCTAGAGTTCTTGCAATGGAAGACAAAAAATGGTGTTAGTGACAAGTCATTTGGCGATTTATTGAAACTTGTCAAGAACATTCTTCCGGAGGGAAACAAATTGCCCGAGACAACGTACGAGGCTAAGAAGATAGTCTGCCCTCTAGGACTGGTAGTTCAGAAGATTCACGCATGTCCGAATGATTGTATCCTATATCGCGGTGAGGAGTACGAGAACCTAGAAGCATGCCCTATTTGTAA